GGACAGAATGTGACTCAGCAGGTGGTTTGAGGACATTTCCCCTGGACTCTGATTGTTACTCAGCACTAATAACGATAAAAGAGGATTTTTTTAAGGAATCGCGGTTCAGTTCTTCCTATTCCTGCACACGTTTCATAAGAGTCAGGACGCTGTAAAATGTTCGTAAAAACAGAATTTGATCGTTTGCAAATAAATGATAAAAAGCTGGGTGCTCCCTCTCCTTTTTGAGGCAATAATTAGTATTTTCTAAAATTTGTCATTTGGTTTTTTCACCTGCATTTCCTGAATTCCTCCTTGCATGGTTCAGCTTTAACCTGCATTTGTGGATGTATTAATGAACCTATGCAGCGATTCCCACTACAGAGCCATGTCATTATAAGGGGCCGAAAAATCACAGCCATACCGTGATGATTTTTGGCCTCGATAATAATAATAATAATGAACACTCTAGATCAGGGGTGTCAAACTCAACCTCAGCAAGGGCCATAATCTGGATTTAGGTCTAACCTGAGGGTCAACATTTCACCAAAACTGTCGACCTCCTTTTCAAAAAATATGCAAAACGAAAACAGCAGTAATTATAAATCATTTGGAAATTTGAAAAAGATAAAAAGATGAGTTTAAAGGCAATCTGAGATACAAAAAATATTTTATTTTTTATTTTTTTCTAATTTTATTTATTAGTCTTAAAAGATCAGAGCATGATATTAAAAATAGAAAAATAATGCATTTAAAGAGCAAATACACGAGGAGAACATTGAAATCATGTTTAAATGCTCAAAATATGACTTAAAATTTAAAATTGGAATCCCAAGTATAAAAATGACACAAGTCTAAATACTGAGTTGAACAAAATCAACGCATGATATAAAAAATCCACTCATGTTTGACTTGTAATCTTGAAATGCAAAATTGAAAACATGAAATAAAACACCAAAATTTTCCCCCACATTCTTGACTATTTATCAAATCTTTCTTACTCTTTAATTTCCCAGATTTTTGTGGTTTATTGAGGATATTTTAAATAATGGTGCTAAAGTTTACATTATTATCCTGGAGGAAATCTGCAGACTTCATACTGGAGGGCCAATAATAATACAAATATGAGATGATCTTGTGGGCCAGATTTGGCCCCCGGGCCTTGAGTTTGACACCTGTGCTCTGGATTATGAAAAACCTAAATTCTTGATGGTTTACACTCAGGAACATTATCCTGTAATTGTCGAGTATTTGCTCACGCTGTCTCTCACAGAGTAATGACCCTCAGCCTATCTGAAAAGCCCTTTTTATACCCAGTCATGTGACTAACCGGTTGCAAATTAACCAAATTAGGAATTTTATATTTTTTTATTAAACATAAACTGTTAAATTCTGTTTAAAGCAACATTTGGCACAGCTCCTTTACTCTGGTGTTATTGCGTCTGTCAGTGGTATGAAGAATGTATGACTCTTTGGACTAACATGAGTTGCTCATGACAACATTTTTGTCATTCTCAAACATCATGTATGTTTTGATTTGCCTGTACTTGAAGTATGTGGGTGTATCTGAAGGCTGCTTTCTGAGCTGCGTGCTGTGGGAAGGTTATTTTTTCACCGCACACTCACAGCAGCCAGATACTAGCTCGAAGGACCGGAGGGTTACGATAGTTTTATCAAATAAAGACTGAAAAAAAAAACAGTAATGAAATGCTGACACTATAGTATGTAATGCTTGGTACAGTAGTTTTTATTTCCAAACTTTGTCCAGTAATAGTCCAAAAATAAGTTTTTACATGTGTGTGAATTGATTTTATCTCAAAAAGTGCCTCTTTTTTTCTTTTTTTAAACTGTTTTTACCGACAGTTTTCAAGACGAGAAGAAATTTTCAACATTACAAGGCGAGCAAAAACCTCACAGGCATTCCAGAGATTTTCCTTTTTTTTGTTTTGTTTTTTTGTTTTTTAGTTCTCAGCAACAGCAGAGCGTAAAAGTTTATGTCCATGTTTTATCGTAGATCTGCTTTTCCCCCTCTCTGTATGTTTCCAAGTGCAGTAAAATGCATGGGCGCTTCAAAAACATGGGAGAAACAAAAGAACAACAGACTTTGAAACTGCATGAGACAATGTTTCCTGAAACATCTCGCCTGTGTACAGCAGAACATGGGCAGGACGCCCTCCCTCAACAAACACTGGAAATAAATAATCTTTATTAGACCCTCATGTCTCTTTGGTGTCTTTGTTTTATTCTCCTCAAACATATGGAGGAAATAAAAGATAAATCATTACTTATGGCTTTAACTCACCATGTTTGCTAATTCTAGCTCTAGTTTAAAACAGAACAATGACTGAGGTATGACAGGATGTCTTAATCTCTCCTCTAACAAGTCCACATGTTTCACTGCCAGGATTTTTATCTGGAAGAAGCTTATTTTAAAATATATAAAGTTAATCTTTTTTACTTTGGGTTGTGCGAAATGGTTAATTGGCGCTCACCTCATCTCAGCTCACAATGTGCTCTTCTCTTCTCAGACAGGGCACGACCCCTGACCATGTAAAGGAAGAAAACTAGTATTCCAATTTTTAGTTGCGCCCTCCGGTGGCAGAGATAATTGCAATGTGACAACTTACCCCGGTCTCCCCTACCAGAAGAAAAAAGTGGTGATAATCTTTGTAAAATGTTAAAACAAAGGTAGACTAAATACATCTATGCTTGTATTGACTAAATAAAAACAAAATGGGATGTATCAACTAAAGAGAAATAAAAAATGATAATAAAGCTTAAAAGAATATTTTCAATAAAGTAAAAGAAAAAACTCTTTAAAAAGAGAAAAATAAAAGATTAAAGAGAAATATAAATCAACAAAAAAAAAGACAAAGACCATGGATAAAATAAAATACCAACAAATTTTGAATAAGTGAAGATTCAGGTTAAAATTCATGAATAATGTGAAAAATGATCAAAACTCAAATTTAACAGTTTGTGCTTTTAAACTTTATATGATTGAGCAACACTGTGGGAAATAAACGAGTTTAAACGTTTAACCCTCGTAACACTGTCCTGCTATTGTCACGCTGCGGGAATGTGCGCGTGAAAACAATTCAGCTAACCAGCTGCCTCGTGCTGCTGCTCTGACGCCCTGTACACGTGAGCCCTCTTTGCGTGTTTCGTTCAGAGGGCTCGAGACACTTTCTCTCATCATCAGAAAACGCGGAGACGCAGCAGCGTGCAGCATCAGACAGCTCCACTCTCACCTGACGCCTTCACTCCACAGGTAAGGACGTTTGATTTCATTTAGAGTCATTTTCTAAAATGAAACACTGATAGAATAAAAGTCTTAATAAAGACTACCTCTACTGCTGATATTGTTCATGCATATTTATTTAATTTTACATATAAAATCCAAATTAATTATTTGACTATAGCATTAAAGCACTACAGCTTCTCTTCAATAACAATCATGATAAACTATAAGGATTTTGTTCTTGTTATTACACTCTGGCCCTCTGTGTAAAGCAGTAACATGTGCAGGTGTGATTGTTAACTAAAACCAGTTAAACAGGTGTGGTGACAACTTGTCAAAGGATACACAACAAAAGATATACAGGGACTGAGAGATTAGGTGCAAACTGAGAGATGTTGATGTTTCTGGCATGTTCTCTTATTTTACTAGAGCATGCACTCCCAGTCAAACAAATCGCACCCAATAGAAAGTATTGTAAATATTAAAGGTATGTAAAGAGGTATGTGAACATTCTGTACTAAATTGAGTCAAAGGTGTGTGAACACTCAAGTAAACATAATCATGAAAGTGTGAGATCCACCCGTGTTACATAAAATCGAATAATCAATCTCCACGCCTGGTTACACAAACCATTAAACAAAGAGTACCAGCATGGATTAATGAAAAGCTTCTTTGCATACAGTTTATATAACTTATATTTTGAAACCCTCATTTGATTTTAATCTAAAATAAAACCAAGGATAATTTATATTAGAGCATTGAAACCTGCTTTATCAGCATCAATCTTACCTTTCAAAAACCATGTAACCAACTGACGTTTTTTCTTAAAACAGTATACATTGACAACATATTGACGCAGGAACATTATTCTCGAGATTCAACTGTCATATCGTTGACCTTATACTGGGTTTTTAATTAACACATATCCATGATCTCAATTTGAATCACCTTTTCACAACTTTATACTTCCTCATGACGTCGCCAATTAAACTCATCGTACAGTTGATTTATGAGTATTTTTGCGGTTTGTCAGTTATCACAGAGAGCCTGTCATTATATTATAGTTGTGAATGATGACGCATAAATAGAATCATAAAAGATGATATCTTATCTTATTATACTATATTTCATCCTATTGTATCATACTTAATATCTAATAATCATATTATATCATATCATGTTCACTGTCACACTATTGTATCTTATTGTCCATATCTTATCATAACGTATTGTGTCGTATCATAACGTACAACATCAAGAAAAACAAATAATAAAGACGAGGATCAATATTATGTTGTCAAAGACAGACAAAACAACTAAAACTCCGTCCTTTTATGTCTTTTATTTCTTTTATACTTTTGTGTTTTTATTTCATTGATTTTATTTCTTTTTAAATGTTTTTTTACCTGCTTTTATTTATTTTATTTTAAATGTTTTCTGCAGTGTCTGTTCTTTTAATTTTATTGTGCAGCACTTTGGTAAACTTGAATGTTTTTTAAAATGTGCCATAAAAATAAAGCAGATTCGATTGGATTGGATAAAACTTCATTTATGCAGAAATTTAAGACAGAAGGTGCATCAATAAATATGATTAAATTGGCAAAATTAAACAAACCGAAACACAGACCGACTTCAAAAAGACTCTCCCAAACAGCTGGACCTTTAAGAGCCTCTCAAAGCAGTGAAATGATGCAGCATACCTGACATATAGTGACAGATAAAAGCCTATAAGACTGATTGTTTAGTGAAAATCTTTATTTCTCTCATTTTTAAAGGAACTATGTCAGCTGTCTACCTCCTCCTCCTGCTGCTCCCCCTGGTGTCAGCACAGACCTTTCGCTGGGGTCCCTGTCCCAATCCTAAAGTGCAGCCCAGCTTTAACATTCAACAGGTAAGCACACACACGTTTGTACTTCCTCATATGAGACATCACTTGACTGTATAAAACTAACTGAGCCTCTCTGTTACAGTATCTGGGTCGCTGGTATGAGATCGCGAAGCTGCCTGCTAACTTTGAGAGGGGAAAGTGCATCGAGGCGAACTACGCTGTGAGGGAGGATGGAACCATCCGGGTGTACAACACTCAGCTGTAGTGAGTATTGATAACTTTGGTTTTATTGATCGTTTTCAGGAACTTTTGATGCCTTTATCAGAGGAGAAAAAGTGGGAGATGAACAGTGACAAAGGACAAATGGCCAGGTTTGAACATGGGCCTCCTGCTCCACAGCGCTCTCTTGCTGTTGTCTAGTGGATACAGTTTTTAAAAATGCCCTTTTGTTGCTCTTCTCAGTGGATAAATTGTAAACAAAGTGCTCTCTGGTTAATCTTTTTTGAGTAAAATCTTAAAACCAAGGTTTTAGTTGCCATTTTAGTAAAAACAAATGTAAACAAAGTGCCCACTGGATGCTCTTTGTAGGAGATCAATTGTAATCGAACACCCTCTGGCTGCTCTCTGTCAATGGTAAAATGTAAACAAAGTGCTCTCTGGTTGCTCTCAGTAGTGGATAAAATGTAAACAAAGTGCTCACTAGTTACTCTTTTTTGTTTGATACCTTTTAGCCAAGTCTTTAGTTACCGTTTAGCAGAAACTAATTTCAACAAAGTGCCCTCTGATTGCTTTATTTGTGTATGAAATGTAAATGAAGTTCTCTCTGGTTGCCCTCTGTAGGGGATCAAATGTAAACAAAGTGCTCTCTAATTTTATTTTTTTTTGTGTAAAACCTTTTAGCCAAGTTTTTTGTTACTATTTTAGCAGAAACTAATTTAAACTAATTGCACTTTAATTTCTCTTTTTGTGTATGAAATGTAAACCAAGTTCTCTCTGGTTGCCATTTTAGTGTATAAAATGTAAACAAAGTGCCTGTCTGGTTGCCTTTCCTGGTATAGATGTAAACAAAGTTGTCTCTGCTTGCTTTCTCAAGGAAAGGATGTAAATAAAGTGGTCTCTCGTTGCCCTGCGTAAACAGAGTGTCCACTGGCTGGTCTCCTGCAGTGTATGAAACAGAAACAAGTCTATTTAAATTGTTTTTTAAAAAATCTGCCATTTTTGTGTTTCAGTAAAGGCAAAAAGAGGGCGGCAGAAGGGACAGCAGTGATTCCTGACATGAGAGAACCAGCCCAACTCGGAGTCAGTTTCTCATATTGTAAGTCCTCATCTTTATCTTTGCTGTATTTTTTTACCTGCTGCTGTCACACACACGGTTTTTGGTCTCATCTTTCTGTCCTCTTGTTGTAGCGCTGCTTTGTTGTCTTTCACAATCATGCCGGGTTTTATATTTATATTCAAAAAGACTCAAATGTCAGACTCTACAAAAATGCCAAAAGTTGCTCTGAGAAGCAGTTTTTTTCCAGACTCCTCTCCTCACTGAGCTCATCTCGGCAAACATACCTTTAGAATGATGATCTATCTGCTGACATGTGATGCAGCAGCTGTGGTGAATCATCTATTTCGGTCGTCTTTGTTCTCAGTTTGAAATGTTGATGTAAACATATTTACAGCCCTTTTCTTTTGTTTCTTCTTTCTGCTTTCAGTCACTCCCTACAGCCCGTACTGGATCCTAACCACAGACTACACCGGTTTGTCTGTTGTGTATTCTTGCACAGACATCTTCCGCATTTTCCACATCGAATTCGCCTGGATCCTCGGCCGGTCCCGTTTCCTAACAGCAGCTGAGGTACAGTACGCCAAAGGGATACTGATAAACGAGGGGATCGATCTTTTCAGGATGACAAATACGGATCAGAGTGGCTGCAAGGACGACTAGACACTCAGTGCAATGCAACTTCGGACTGAATACTCACAAAACTGCTCCATCGATCAACATTATGTCCAACAAACTGGGCTAAATGCTAACCTGTAATGCTCTCTCTAATAATATGCATATGCACTGTGTCTCATCTCATTTTTGCTGCCTTTTGTTTTTGTCTTTAAAAACAGACACACAGACTTCAATCAACCTGCATAAATGATCCATTTTAACTGTTTTTAAGTTGCTTTTTAGTTTAACATGTAGTCAATAACCTTGTCGGGAAAATTAAACATTGAAAGAAATTTTAAGAATATATACTGAAGTTTTTTATGAAGTAGATGCTGCTTAGTGGGTGACAAATGAAGGAAATTCTAGGTGTTAATCAACAGGGTTTAATGAAGTTTTACACTGTGAGTTTATTGAACTTATATTGCAGAGTTTGGGAAGGTTGAATAATTCACCTAATGATCATAGACGAAAATGCTCAAGTATGTAGATATCTTTGACATCATGTCTCCCTTGTTGTGTCTTCTGACTGAAAGAATAAAACATCAACAAGATCATTTGTATCTGCTCTTTTAATAACGTTCTCGGGACAGACAGTCCTTCACTCCTCTGAGCGCTGCTTCTCCTGTATGCAGATTTACACAGGTAACAGGTGACAGGCGTAATCCACTGAGCTCCGGAGAGAGGTACTTGTCTCTCACTTACTTGTTAAGCCGGCCTCACACTTTGACTTTGATATCTTGGTTAATTTCACACTGGTGATTCACAGACACGGAATTTCAAAGAATCACTGATGCCTTTTGTGGTATGTCATTGTAAGACATTGTAAAGGCACTGGTTTCTTTGCCATGTTGATTCCACAGAAAGAAATGATAACATGCAAGAACAGCTGGAAATATCATGGAATCATTTCTCTGTAAGCAGTATGATCTGCACAGTTGCTCGTGTGTGTGTGCGTGGCTGTGTGTGTGTATGTGTGTGTTTGAAAGTCCTCTTGCTCTTCTGCACTGAGCCTCACACACCACAGACCGCAGTGAACCTGAGAGGACCAGCAGCATCTCTCTGCACCTCTTCTCACACCATTTACAGGTAAAACTCACTCATCTTAATTCGAATGTTTTCCAACAAAATTAAGTCGATTTGCATTAAAAAGAAGACATTCTTCAAGATTTATGGGTCAAATATTTTTGCATTTAAAAAGAGACTGTGTTGACTGAATTAAAACCTGGAGTATTCTGGGTGTTGTTGTTCATTTAAGGCGGAAAAGATGAAGGTACTGATCTGGCTCGGTGTTCTCCTCTGCCTCTTTGCTTGTCATCTTGGCGGTAAGTTTTAGAAAATACACACTCCAGAAATAATGATTTTTAAAGGCAAAGTACATCTTTTTTTACTGCTAATTAAGTGTTAAAGTTATGTAATTTAGTTTTATACATGCATGCATTTTGAAGTTTTTCTGTATATCATTCCTGCATGATTCCCTCAGTTGTTGTATTTATAGGACTTCACTTATTTTGGGTATCTCAATGAGCACAAAGAGGTCCCTGTCCGAGAAAAAATCTTAATGCTTCAGACTATGTGAGTGTGTTTGAGTGTGTCTATGTGTGTGTGGATGTCAGCAATAATATTTGAAGAGGGAGCAGGTATCCAGCCATCCTCAGGGAGAGAGAGAGCTCAGTTTTCCGACCTTGAATCCAGTCTTTGTGCTCAGGAGGACCTGGAATGTTTGGGAATGTTAATTTTTTCTCTCTTTCCTCCTCACAGAGGCACGAGTCATCCCAGAAGGAGGTACTGCAATAAAAATGCCATTATATTAATGAAATAAGATAAGATCCTGGACTTAAAGACGATTTTAAGGCTGTTTTTAACTTGATTGTTTTCCTTTTATGCTGCTTAATGTCAGATTGTCTGCTTCAGACCTTTTACTCAGGGGTGAGTGCAGAGGGGTGGCATAAGCCGTCTTTAAGGGCCACCCCAGGTGCCGCCACAAAATCCTTAAATATGATTGGCTTCTCTTCATGTATGTGCAAGCTTTTGTCTCTTAACATACTGAATACAATTTTCAAAACTCCCCCTATTTGGTTAAAAAACATTCATTATTTCCAGCAGAGTAAAAATTATTATCTGAAATTAACTAAATAAAATGTAAAATATGTTTTTGTTAACCCTCCTCCTGTGTTAGGGTCTGCACCAACCCGTTTTTGTTTTTAGATGCCTAAAAGAACCACTTAAATTAGCTTTTTCACATCAAAAATTTTTGACTTTGTCAGGAACCTCTATGTCAACAAATTAAAAATAAAAAAAATAAGTTGACTAAATTTCAAAATGGTCTCATTAAAATGATGGCACTTGTCGTGTTAGGGTCGCTGTTGACCCGGTTAGATCAATATCTAATTGTCAGAGCAAAAAATCATAAGTGCACTGTCAGGCATCACACTGATAGTCAGATCCTCTCCCAATCATGTGAGATTTAGAAAATTCTCATTTTTTCATGTTTTCCCTGCACAAAAACAACATTTTTTTAGTGTAATAACACAGGAGGATGGTTAATGTAAGTAAAAGACACTGTAAGCAACAACTTTTTCCATATTCCAGCTAAGTGCTACCACTCTATCAAACACTCCCTTTAATTTGATTTATTATGTCTCCTGTCTTTCTTTAGTACCATACGATGAACCACCAGCTGTTCCTTACTGGCCTTACTCCACCTCTGATTTCTGGAACTACATCGAGTACTTCAGATCCATCGGCGCCTACAACCACATCAACGAGATGGCCCGCGCCTTCTTTGCCCACCAACACCTCGGGGACACCCTGGGATATGAGACCAATGCAGGACATGAGCACTAAGAGAAGAGATGGATGGTGCTAGGATAGACAGGAGGGGGGTTTTCAGACTAGTTTTAAGGTGACATAAAGGAACAATTGAGAGGAAAAAGAAAATTGCCGCAAAATTTAACTGATTGCAGGATGAGCATATTTAGTATGTAACTATTGTAGTTTAGCCACTCATACAGAATACAGATGTAGAGCATGTAGATCATCTGAAGGATTGTTTATTGTAATTATTTGATATGCTATAAATATAAAAAACATTTGCCAAAATAAATGATGGTGTCAACCAAATACCTGACCATGAGTTCATTCTTGAACACAATGCTTAATCTGTACTGTTCTTACTTGGTTGTATATTTTTCCTCGTTTTATGATAATATAAGGGTTTTATTTCGGTGTAGAATAACTTGACTTCATTAAAAGTGATTAAAATCATTGATTAGGGATCGAAGTACTGTAGTAGAGAACCGTATTCCAAAGAGCGGAACCTTTGAGAAGAGAACGGTCCGACTGCCTCTGTGAAGCCGAGCTCATTTTACTGTTGCACTCCGATGTTTTGTTTACGAGTGCTAAGAAGCTAAACGGGCGAGTCTGAAACGAGCGTCTGTATAAAGTTGTGTTGCTGAAGTGAAAACACCATGAAACCTGCAGTGGACGAGATGTTTCCAGAGGGAGCGGGACCTTACGTAGATTTGGACGAGGTACTTTTACAGAAATAAAGAGAAAATATCACAATAACTGAACAAAACACAAGAAAGCTGAAGTTAGCTTAGCACAGGACTATGAGAATAACGACGAACGATCATTTCTGTTCTATTTTGGTTGGTTTTTGGTTTTAAAAGCTTTGAAAATGGTAGTGCTCGAACCATGTTAATGATTTATCTTCTGTCTTTAAATTTGTCTCTGTTTGTCGAGGTTTACTGCCTTTGGATATAGATAGCGCTCTGTTTACCGTAAAACTTCGACAATAAGGCCCTTTAACAACAGCTGCAGCTTTGATTAGACGATGTAATCTTGTCGTTTTTTTATAAGTTGAAACATTGTGAGTCTGGGATGCATAATTCAGTAGCTGCTTTATATCTGATATCTTTAACTACTGTACAGAAACTCATTTAAAGGGATATTCCGGCGTAAAATTAAGTTAGGGTCAAACACACCGTAACACCAAGTGAGACACCCCCAGTTGCCGACCTACTTCTCTAGTTATACCAGCTTTAGTAACGACCGCAGGATAGCAAAACACAGCGGTCTGAGGAGCCATAAACAAACCTCAACCAAAACACCATTCTATAGACACAAATAATGCTCAGAACAGGACCTAACTTCATCAACAGGACATATAGCGGGGTGACGCAACTCAAGGAAGAACATTTATGATCATTTCTTTAAGGAAACGCAATCCGACCGAGACGCTAAGGCAGAAGAACTACCGCGTCTGCAGTGCAAAATGATTAATACGGTGATTATTACTTCAAGGAAATGATAAAGAAATGATCATAAATGTTCTTCCTTGAGCTGCGTCACCCAGCAGCAGTCCGTAATGGCCTGGCCGTGGGTGAGTTGTGTTTAGTCTCTTTGCTTAAGAAATGAGGCAAAGTTAAAAGATGTTTGGTGGTTAGTGCTATGGCTAGGACCCTATATGTCCTGTTGATGAAGTTAGGTGCTGTTCTGAGCATTATTTGTGGCTATAGAGTGGTGTTTTGGTTGAGGTTTGTTTATGGCTCCTCAGACCGCTGTGTATTGCTATCCTGCGGTCGTTACTAAAGTTGGTATAACTAGAGAAAAAAGCGGTCTGCAACACTCATCTCTCAACGGGGTGTCTGATTCGGTGTTACGGTGTGTTTGACTTTAAATTAATTTTACGCCAGAATATCCCTTTAGGGTTTAAACAACCAAACTTTAGAATAGAAGAGCAACTTCTCAGGGAACAGGATAAGCAGATTGTCCCATTTCAGAACTGTGTGTTACATAATACAGGTAGTAAAATACTAAATTTTTTCTGATCTTAACATATTGTTCTTCATTTTAAAAAGGTACATAGAATACAAATCTCCATAAAGTTCTGAAAAACTGCATTTTGTGAGTGAAGAGGTGTGATCCTGCTTTGTTGACAGTTGCACTGTTGCATGTTAACAGGCAGGGGGCAGCAGTGGTCTGCTGATGGACCTGGCAGCCAATGAAAAAGCAGTTCACTCTGATTTCTTCAACGGTGAGCTTCACTTTTCTCCCTCTTTTAATTTTTTTAAAGTTCACTTCATTTGTAAATGTCCCATGTCTTTCTTTTGTTTGTATCGTTTTCACTGTTTCTGGTAAAGTTCCTCATCCATCTGAGTTTGATTTTGGACATCTTTTAAATTAAATGGTTCATGTTGAATGTTAAATTGATCAACAAGATATCAGATGTGCTTGACGCTTGTTTGGCACAGTGGTTAAGTGGTGCGCCTCATGTACTGAGGCTGTATTCTTTAAGTGGGCATCCCAAGTTCACTCCCACCCTGCGGCCCTTTTCCTGCTCATCACTCTTCCGTGGTGTCCTGTGGTCTCCTCTGTCTTACCCACTCTAAATAAAGGCTGACCTTGGTAATCCTTGGTGATCTAATTTATCAAGTAGTGAACAACAAGGATCTTAAAACTCCAATCCTCAATCTGCAGCCTGAAGGTTTGCAAAGTCAGAAAGAAATTTAACAGAAAACTTTTTGTCTAATATTTTATTCAGTTTAATATGAATCACATCTTGTGCTGCGTTGTCAGTTTGAGCATCAAGTTTTAATTTTCTGGACTTGTGTCATGGCTGTAATCAAAATAACCCATCCCTGGTACTAATTTTTAACTGTAGACGTCCTACCTAGGAAAAAGAAAGTTCCCCTAACGCGCCACAAGTGCTGATAGCTATGACAGGTTTCTTGTAAAGCTGTGCTCTGGCTTTTTACCATCATTTTTCTAGCTGTTAAATAGCCGTTAAAGTTACACGGACAGCCTTAGAATTTGGTGATACCTTTAACGGATAAAGTGGACAACCTCAAAATGTATCAAAATACAGAAACTGAGTTAAGAAACCAGATCGTTGGTTTTGCTAAACTTTCTGCTCATGTTAAACTGAATAATCAGGAAGCTGAAAATAAAATACATCACTTAATTTCCAGCATTAAACTACCAGAAACCTATCAACTTAAATGCTCAAAATATATTTGAGTGTTTTCACAGAAAAATTAAAGGATTTCAAAGAAAAACAAGATTAAATATAAGCTGCAGAGAAGCTGGAGTTTTAGTGTAAGCACGTTAACATGTTTCCTGCTTTACCCCAAATGGTCTTGTTTCAATTAACCCTCAGAAATCCAGCCGTTCCCCTGTAAACAGCACTTAATGTGTCTCTCTCACACATAAACATGCACACAGAGGACACACACAAAAAAGCACGAAGCTAATCGGTTTTCCGTCTTGCAGCGTCGGCTGCAGGCAAAAACAATTTTTGGCTCAGCAGCTCATGACCTAGAAAAGAAAAAAGCTGATTGTTAAAAAGGAGAGAAAGAAAGAGGAAAAGAAGAGAGGGGAGGAGAATGGTAAAGGGAGTTTATGGCAGCAGTCAGACTGAAACTCAGCGGGACGCCCCGCCAGTCAGCTGCTTTGAACACACAGACACACACACACACACACACACACCTGGGGCTGTGGATCACCAAGGCTTTAAACAACATGAAAACTGCCTCTCGGTGAAATCTCATGAATGGAGGCTCCTATCTCGTTGCACTAACAGGGAGTCCCCCTCAGGTCCCTTAATGAGAAAAATGAACCCACTTAAATTTACTGATGCTGTGTTTGAATCAGAGAAAGTACACACTGTCAAACCCACACACAGGAGGACTTAACATCTCTATTAGTCAGATTCCTGCTGCTGGAACTTACTCCAGGATCAGGGAACCTTTTGAGAAACTTTCCAACCGTCTGTTCCTCCTCAAGGGTCCGACTGTAGTTCCTTGGATCTGTCATATATTATCCCCCCACAATCCTTTGCTTGGAAACCCTGGGCTGGGTGGGCTTACAGAGCTTCTCCCTGATTGGTCAGGTAACTGCAGCCTTTTAATTTCAGCCACCGTTTATAAAATCCCCAACTCCCCACTGCTCTGTTGCTTTAATTTATTTTAGTTAATGGTTTATTGACACAAAAGTGCATTCACCTACAGAAGCTTAGAATATATGTTAATAAAATGAAGTCAGGCCCTAAGGAGCATTTGTACTGCTGATTAAATTCAACTGGAAATAGGAAACAGCAACCACTGACCATAAGGGTTTTGATTATATATTTGATCATATAGCTGCAGGACACGATGATGTAAGGAAGTCTGCTCTCTGTCAGAGTTTAGCAGACGACAAAGTCTCGGTGGCGTCACCCATTTGGTTTCTGCAGCGGTGTTGTGTTGTAGATCTTGTAGTGACAAACTTTTCTCACAGGCTGTGGATTTTGGAAGGGTTTTTGAGCCCATGCAGTGAATTCCATTACAGAGCAGTGTTGTTTTCATTGACGTTGATCATCAACGAAAACAACACTGATGCACACACACACACACACACACACACACACACACACACACACACACACACACACACACACACACACACACACACACACACACACTCCTCTCCCTCCTGTTGTTCTTCCTTCAGGCTAAATTCAGACTAATTTCTCAGACGGTTAAATATTAAATCTGACTGAATTCTCTCGGAGCTCATTTTTTTGTGTCTGCGAGAATATATGTTTGGCGTTTCACTGACGAAATGCTCATGAATCGTCTTCCACCACTAACATTTTCATCTAGTCTTGTCTCGTCAATGTAAATGCACATTCGTCTCGTCACATTGTAGTCATCTAAGACTTATGTTTGGCTCGTCAACGTCACACTTTCTTCGTGGAAAAAAGGGGCGTTGGCGAAAACAACACTGCTACAGAGTCATGTCTGTGGACACAGCTTGTTGAGAATGTCTGTTTTTATGGACATCCAGGATTGGTTTTAGGTCTTGGTCTTTTTGAAAAGTGATGTCTTTGTGTCTGTGCCCGACTTCCTTTCCAGCACGGGTTAATCTGTGCTGAATTTATCCGGCATGCTCCGGTGTCCGGAAATTAACACATTAACGTGAATGGTTACGATCAGCTGCGACCGGCGGATACAGCCTTTTCGTAGCCGTTCCGGATGTGATGGAAATGTGGGGTTACTGTGCAATTGATGCACAGCTTTCACCTTGGTATAAACAAAACAGAGTCCAAAAAGAAATCAGCTCCTGTACTGCACTGCTTAGACAAATCTAGAAAAGAGCTTTTGAGACTGAAACGGTTTCATAGACTAGAACAAAAGTATGTGTTTTATTTATTTATGTATTTATTTACCAGGAAATATTCCCATAGCAACATAAAACCTCCTTATCAAGAGAGTCCTGGCCAAGTCAGCAGTATGGAGGTGAATTAATGATCATCTTTTAGCAGTAAAATGTGTGTATTCACCGGTCAGATGATCCTTAATCCTGGTTTTAAAGTCCTCCAGATTCATGAAATGACCAAATCTTAGGTGGCCTTGTAGCTCAGACCAGGACTTTAGAGCAAAAGCATCAAAACTTCTTTATTTTAGGGAAAGACTGAGGACAAAAAAGGCTCTCCTTTGCTTCTGAAGTGGACTTTTCTGCATCTGCTTTGTTTCTCCAACACAAAAGAGTTGCTATGTGATGAAAACACAGTCAACATCAAACTGCAGGAACCTCTAAGTCCTCTGAAGATTGTTGCTGTGGCTGAACGATTTCATGAAAAGGTGGTTTTATTTGTTGCGTATGATTACAACAAACCTCTCTGCTAATTGGAATCAGGATTTGACACCTCAGGGTTCAGTCTTTTCTGATGTGATCTAGATCTGATCAGAGCGCTTTACCTCCTAATGAGGGTCGAGGTGTCTCTCTGTCCTGACGCAGACATGACAACATGATGTTTAGCCCTTTGTGAAAAGGTCAGCTCAACAGTTTGAAGAACTTTTTGGTGAAAAGAGTTGAGATGGTTTAGGAAGGGCTTGTTTACAGTGTTAAAAAAGTTGCAGTGCGTTATGGGTAGCCGTGGGGCAGGCTGTTTGACTGTCTGCCTGTCCCTTATTAGGCTGAACACAGGAATGTCCTGTTCCTGGAAACCACGCAGACATGAAAGACAGAGTTCCCAAAGCCTGGTGAGCTGACACAGGTTCAGCCCGGGGACATTTGAGCGCGTTAGCGCAAATATAAGATTAAAGCCGACATGAGTTGTTGCCTGTAAGTACAGCTGCAAATCAAATAATGCTTGTTTACAACTCGAAAAGTCCTTGAGGAATATTTCTGATTTCTTTAGTTTCTTTGTACGATAATAAACCGGTGGTGCTGTGGAAGAAATGCTGCGCCAGACTTGCATAAAAACAGTTGAAAAGGTCAGAGTGAGACTGATATTTGACTCAAAATCACAGCTTTTGAGTAAAGGATGCTGCTGCCTGTGTAATAATAAACAAAAAATTGGTTGCAAGCCTTGATCAGAGTACCATACATTTGGTGAAAAGACACACTTTGAAAGAAAAAGGCATCTAAAAATTGAGCTGCATAATAGTTTTATTTTATATAACAGAATAAATTGCAGTGAGAGATACTTTACTATAACTAGACGACAGTGTTTGATAAGCAAACTGCTGCTTTAAAGGGCAAATCATGTTGGAGACGGATCAACAAAGACTCGTCCAGCAGCAGCACTTTTTACTGCTTTATTCCCTCATTTGGCTCGAACCGTGCATTTCAAGAAAACAGTAGTCTGCTGTTCAATGAATCAACCTTGAGTAGCGCTGAATTGATTGAAAAGACTCTAAAAAGGATATTCCGGCGTAAAATTAAGTTTGAGTCAAACACACCGTAACATCGAGTTAGACACCCCCTCAAGAGATGAATGTTGCCGACCGCTTGCTTCTCTAGTTATACCAACTTTAGTAACGACCGCAGGTAGCAATACAGAGAGCCACGTGCTCAACCAAAACACCACTCTATAGCCACAAATAATGCTCAGAACAGCACCTAACTTCATCAACAGGACATATAGGGTCCTAGACACCAAACATCTTTTTAACTTTGACTAATTTCTTTAGCAAAGAGACTAAACACAACTCACCCACTCTCTTCCAGCAGCCGCTTGTTTGTAGCGAGACCTCCAGGCGAGTGTATCGAATACAGTGGGGTGACGCAGCTCAAGGAAGAACATTTATGATCATGTAAACTGGGACAAGAACAGTAGTCCAGTCTAAGGTACAGGTGGTGATAACAGAGCTACACATCCGCATGGAAGGTCTACATTGCTGAACGCATGTCTTTGCGCAGGAACACAGTTTATCATTTCCACAAAAAGAGACAGCATCTTGTTGAGAAGAAAAAAACATGTTTTTCTTCTGTGTATTTAAGTGCAGTTTGTTTTCTCTCTTATTATCTGAGCCTCTTACAGAGATAACAAGCAAAACACAGATACAGAAGGACAAATGAGAGACAAAGAGGGTTCATCTAAAGACCATTGTTTATTTTCCGTCCTTCTATCAGGACTCCTCTTTTTTCTCGTTGTTTCAAGGATTTCTTCAGGGGGATTCTCATTTGCTGAGACACAAAGAAAGACTGTTGTGGATCTCTGCAGGTTCATTATGATTTAATAATGAGGAGAGGCGCAGAGACAGGCCGGGGTAACTTTATGAGTTTTTAGTACAGTTATATTTCTTTATTTCAAACATGCCTGCCTATGACTTAAGCCTCGATAGAAGTGTTCAAAATTATATCACAACAGGTTAAGGTTTTAAAGAGGACCATTTCTAACCCTTGTCTTCTTTTTCTCTTGTCTTCCTCCAGACTTTGAGGATCTCTTCGATGATGACGACCTGCAGTGACGACAGCGTCTGAACACCTGCGCTCCACTGTGAATGCGTAGATAAGAAAATGAAAGCGTGCTCATCCTGACCACAGCTTCTGTTTTATTTATATCCTGGACATGCCCCTCACCTCTGCACTCAAATAAAACTTTTTTTGCTTTTTGTACAAAAAGAAAAACTGCCTCTTGTCTTGGTGAACCAGGTGTCTGTGAATTCTGAGGATTCCTGCTTCAGAGAAAATTATGAGTATGGTTTTGGCGCTGTCGTGTTTCAATCTGCTCCCGGCTGGATTGCAGGTTTGCAGGCTCTGCGAAACACCTGTTAGCGAACGTTAATTACATACGAGATACAGTGTTAACATGACCGCTGAATCCTCGGCCGGAGCACGACGGGACGGGACAGGAAAAAGGGGGCTGCAAAAATGTGGAAATGCTGAAAAACTGAGCGCATAAAGAAGCTCATTCAGGTGTAGACTCAGGCTGTAAAATCATCGTCTGAACCCGAGGTGAAGGATGAAACCACAACAGAAAAGGTTTAAATTGACTTAAAATCATAGAGAACATATCTCTCTGCTGGTTTTATAGATATTTTAATTTATAATGGACACATTTAATTAAATATTCATGCATTAGTGATAAGGAGAGGGCTGTTCAGAGCAGAGTACTGAACTCAGTCACCACAAGTATGCAGACAGCCCAAACATTTCAACTTCTTTTTTTTTATTGTCCCCATAAACTGTAATTACGGTATCATGGGCATTAAATTGCCTCCAAAACAGCCTCTGCTGGTGAACACAAAATAAAGTCACCCAGCTGCAGGGATGGTAACCAATCAGCTTTCAGAACATCAGTGAATTATTCATCTGTGTGATTTCAACAGTAAGGGGCTTGAGTCTGTGTGGGCTGGTGAAGTTTTCAACCTTAAACTAGAGCATGTGATGATGCTTTCCACCTATACACACAAAAACAGGGGAAGGTTCCCAAATAATTGAAACTTTATTCTCTTGACAACAGTACAAAGGCAATATATCAAATGTTGAAAGTCAAACTTTATCAAACTTTTTGATGTTAACTTTTTTAACTTTAAAACTAGCAGCACAAAAAAAGTAGTTTAAAAACTTGGTTATATTAAATTAAAAAAAAAAGGATCATCATCTGACCAGAATAATGTTCCTTATCATAATGTTGAGAAGAATTGGTGCATTTTATCATCTTAAGTACATAATATAGATACTTACCTGGATAACATGTTATCTAAATAATATGACTAGTTTCTGGTTACTGTAATATGCCATAATACAATCATGATCATCAGCTAGTGTCTAACTAATGTAACTAATTACACAAACAAACATCAGTTAGTAGATTGTAAGATAAAAATATTTAATATACTTAATAACTAATTTAATCTAACTATAATATTATATAACCTATAACTAATATAAGTTACGATAACATAACTGATACATATAGACTCATAATTTAGATTCATTGAATTCATCAGTTTTAAAAATTACTATAGTATCCATACCATTTAATTATTTATTTGTTTGTTTATTTTCCCTTCCTTCTTACAAACATCTTTATCTGTCTAACTTTAATTAATTTTTCTGTCTTGATTTCATTTTACTTGACTTTTTTCTTTATTCATCTTTCATGTTTTAATAGTCACTATTGCTTAAATTTTCAGTGGGTCTGTTCTCCTGTGAAGCACACTGGGCTGCGTGTTTGTTGTCTAAAAGGTGCTGTATAAATAAAGTTGAGAGGAGAGTTTGAAAAAGTTTGGGCTGATAACTAAAACTGGAACTTTAAACACTCAGGAAACAGGTATGACTCTGTAGTGGAAGTCAGTGCATGAGGATAAAGTTTGTAGGATGAAACTGCACCATGTCGAGAGTAAACTGTAAAACATATTCATTTTTTCATGACAGTTTAATCCAATCGAGCAAAATCCCTAAAGTAAAGTTGACTCAAACTTCAACTACCCTAAAAAAACAACTTTTATTTACTTCTAAATATTAAATGCTGCAGAACAAAACATGAGATTTAAAAACAAGTGTCCGGGGGCTTTCTTATTGGCTCATGTATTATGGGTAAGAGACCTTTTCTACATAATTAAAACAGCCTCAATATAAAAAAAAAACACTTTAAGGATCCTCGAACGATGAGAGGCAAATCAAGGAATAAACACTCTGCGCACATGAACACGTACAACAAGAGCAGATTATGGTTATTTTCCAAAGATAGAGAAATTTAAGGATGAAAACTTACAGACATGATTTTAAATTTGGTTATTAATCAACTGTATTAGATCAATGATTATGATCGGTCCAAGCCCCTTTACACAGGTGCATAACAAATCAATCTGCAGGAAGAAGTAAAGAAGTCAAGCACAGTTCTGCCTGTTGACACTGTGGCAAAGACTCCTACTTAGAAAATAATCTCTTAAACTAATAAAACCTGATCAGAAGCTGACCTGGTCCTAGACCTCATCAGACTCTTTAGTGTCATAAAAGCTGATCCACTCAGATGTGCTGATATTGCATCACACTCTGCAGAGACCCTCTAATGTGTCTCACCAGGTCGGCATGCCTGAACACAGTTAGAGTCAGGAGGAAACTGTAGATTAACAAATTCCTCATGTGTAGACCAGCTGTCCTGTGTGTGTGTGTGTGTGTGTGTGTGTGTGTGTGTGTGTGTGTGTGTGTGTGTGTGTGTGTGTGTGTGTGTGTGTGTGTGTGTGTGTGTGTGTGTGTGTGTGTGTGTGTGTGTTCAGGTTTAGACACAGGCTGTGGTTTGGCCCTCATTGAGGGTCTCTGAGAAGTGCTTATGTGGCACCTCTGCTCCCCTTCATTAGTCCATGATGTTTGCTTTCTTCTCTCACCTTTAAGTCTTTTGTTTTTGGTGTTTTGAAGGATTACTACATAGAAAAAAACAAGATTAAGACTCTGATTTCTGATCTAAAATGTGACAAAGATTTAATAATCAATCATGACGTTTGTTTACTCTAAAAATCAACTTCTCTCACCGTGTTTCCACGTCTCCATCTTCGCTCCAAGCCCTCCCACCTTCTCTCCTTTCCTGTCTTTAATTACAGATCCTCCAATTGGCTGAAACTTTCCGAAAGTTTTCCAACCAATCAGGTGTCTCCCGGCGGTGGCCCTTGACCCCCTCAGGTGGTTCCCTGCATGTGTTTCTGCTCTGTGCGTGTTAATGAGTGCTTGTTGCGGGTGCGTGTTCGGTTTAAAACCCTCGCCCGGTCCCTCCGTCAGGGCAGTCTGTCAGAAGGGCCGCAGGGACAGGGGTGCAGCAGGGACCGCTATCACTCCCACACCAACACACACACGCAGACACACACTTTGTGTTTGAGCCCAGGTGGACTGAGGCTCTAAACTCCAGTTGAGTCCACATCTGGATCAAGCTGACTAGATAACCACAGGTAAGAAACCGCGCCTTGTTTACTTCAGGGATTCAAGTTCAGGTTGGAGTCAAGTTTGAGCCTCAAATGACACCTGGTTTTGTCTTTTTTATGATGCAGCAGGAGCCGTGTGGGGACATGTTTGTTTAGTTTACTCTAAGCTGCAGGGTCACAGCCCTCCAGACCTAAGGTCGCACTGGTTTAGAGTCTTGGATTTTAAATGGCGTTAAATCAGCGCCTCTTCAATCGTAATTATCGTTACAGGCGATATAACATCCTGTTCTGAGATCTGCTTCTAAATATAGAGACAACAACTCATTCATCCAAGAGAATTAGTTCGATTCAAAGCGTCATCAGCTTTACAGGTCAACAGGGATGAAACAACAGCTGTAAGACTCTTAGGTGTGAAAATGATAGTGGGTACTTTGATGACAGTGAAGCGTCATTTCAGTGTCTTTTTTATTTGCAGGAGAGAGGCGGAGGAGAAGTCATGGCTGGAAGAAGGAAAACCAGTTTTTCTGGTGTGCTTGCGGCCACTCTGCTGGCTCTGGTGCTGCTGCCTGGTGAGTAGAGGATCAGAAAATACATATGCATCTGCAAAAACCAGTACTATGGATTTAACAGTGAACTATAAAATGAGAAATGCAAATGTAAGTTTTGGAAAGAGTGATGAAATTCAAAAAAACAACACTATGGGAAATACTGTTCTTGAGTTGGAGCTAACTAAAGTGTTTTATTTATCTACTTTTGAGGTTTTTTTATGGGGTTATATTTGATAAGTAGCCAAAATAAGTGAGAGGGGATACTTGGTCAGGAACAGGACAGCTGGTTGGCTTCCTGAAAGAGTGCAGACAGATGCAGAGGCGGAAAAACACCAAAATAAAGAAAAACACAAACTCCATGATCAAAATGTGACGTACATTGATGGCACTTTAGCTGTAGTCAGGTAATAAATCACTTTAATGGGGTCTGTGCTAAAGAAAACCTCACTTTGTTGAGGTGAAGTGGTTTGGTCGTACGAACAAATAAGCATCGGTTGATTCCCTTTGGTGCTCCAAAATAAAATCATGAAAAACTGCAAAAATATCATAAATGATGTACTCCTGTTGCTGTACTCCTTTTACATTAGGCTCCTTAAAGATAAATCAATTTGATTTAAAGCTCCAGAGTAAAAACTTCAAGGTTTCAGGTTAAGGGTCAGTTATCCTGCTCAGGATCGCTGCCCTTCACTAGTTCATGGTCCAAGATCTCTTCATCACTGAGCTTATTACGCGTGATCATAACTCATCTGTGCGGCGTTTATATCATAATGTGTCTCTAACGCAGCGTGTGGCGTTCATATATCACCTCCAAAGCTTTAACATAAAGACAAGCTGCTCCCCCGCCACCTGTTTCCACATGATTGACATATTTACAGCAGGGCTGAGCTCGCCTCCTCTTCTTCTCCTTCTTCTCCTTCTGCTTCTTTAAAGATGGTTTTTAAAAACCGCACGTGTCTTTCATCGTTCCTGCTCCTGTTAAAAATTAGTACCTGTCAGCATCACCTCCTCCTCTGCTCTCTTAAAGCTCTGCTGTTTCCAGATGTGCCAGCCGCTTTTTTACAGGCTCATAAAGAAGAAAACAGTACAGCGGATACACTGAGACAGCATCATTTAGCCCACCCTCCTCTTCCTCCTCCTCATCGCTCCATCACCTCGGGTCACCTTCAACTTCCCCGTCTTTGATTTTGTTTCTTCTTCTTCTGCGTCTTCATGCTTGTTACCCGTCATCTGTGACCTTCCACGCTACAGTGCGCATCACATCTTCCTGATTACTTCATCAAAGCTTTTCAAACCGCTTTTTTTTTTAATCAGGAGATTAGCGTTTTCTCACTTCCGTCATGAGTCATACATCTCTGGATCTCTCTTTTAAACTTGTTCACCTCTTCCTCTCCTCCTGTAAGGCATTAACACCTTTTCCCTGTGGAGATGAAAGCAACTGGGAGCAGAGCTGAATCTGCTGTTCCTTCAGCTGCATGGGGTCACACCGTGCGCACACGTACACGTATGAGGCACACAAGTGCAAACACAGCTCTTTGAAAACGCAGCGTGGGGTTTGATGTTACGGGCTCAACTATAAAATCTACAAAGAGCGGCAGTTTGCAGGCAGAGCCAATTACCTCTGTCCTTTCTAATGAAAAATACCTGACTTAGGTTTGAGGTTGTGGATTATAATTTTTCTTTCGCATTCATGTTGAAATGATTTTTTAAAAAAAAGTTTGAATGGAGTTCACATCTACTGCTGTTTTTCCTCTTCTTTTGTAGCATTCTTGTCTGCTGGTCCAGTGATGAAGAAACAGAAGAGAGATGGTAAATATGTGAATTTTATAATTAAAGGTCCCCACCAAACACCAGAAATGCTTTGAGATGCTTTTTTATTTATTCATCTTTTTTTCAGGCTAAATCATAAATCAGCCACAAAAGACATTGAAAACTGGGCTTCATTTAGAGGTCCGATCCAGTCCAAATTTAGCCCAAAAAGAGAGACGTTTAAAAACTGGGCTTCATTTAGACAATCCAATTCGTTCCTAATTTAGCCCTGAAAGAGACGTTGAAAACTGGGCTTCACTTAGATGATCTGATTCAGTCTTTCTAAGCCCTAAAAGAGACATTAACTGAGCTTCACATAGACGATCCAATTCGGTCCAAATTTAGCCCAAAAAGAGACGTTTAAAACTGGGCTTCATTTAGACGGTCCGATTCAGTCCTTTTAAGCCCAAAAAGAGACATAAACTGAGCTACATATAGATTTGATTTAGTCCTAGTTTAGCCAAAAAAAAGACACTGAAAACTGGGCTTCATTAAGATGGTCCGATCCGATCGGGTTCTAATTTAGCCCAAAAAGAGACGTTGAAAACTGGACTTCATTTAGACGGTCCGATTCGGTCTTAGTTTAGCCCAAAAGAGACGTTAAAGGCTGGGGTTCAATTAGATGCTTGATCTAGTCCTAATCTATCCCAAAAAGAGACGTTGAAAATTAGGCTTCATATAGACGGCCCAATACGGTCCAAATTAAGCTCAAAAAGAGATATTGAAAAATGGGCTTCATTTAGACGATCTGATTCAGTCGGAGTTTAGCCCAAAAAGAGACGTTGAAAACTGAGCTTTATCTAGACTGTCCAATCTGATCCAGTCCTCATTTAGCCCAAAAAGAGATGTTCAAAACTGGGCTTTATTGAGACGGTCCAATCTGGTCCTAATTTAAAAAGAGACGTTGAAATCTGGGCTTTATTTAGATTATCCTAATCTCGACTTTCTTTAGACGTATAGTGAAGATGTCTTTTCTACGTCTTTTCAACCACTTTTACTGGGTGGGTAGCACCTAAGTTCAGCATATTACTACCTCTATTTTACCGCGGTAATACATCACAGGGTTGACAAGTAACAACACGACTTAATGGTGTCTTAGCTCCAATAAACAAGACCTTGAATATGTAGTTAAAAACTTTAAAAGTCATTAGAAAGTCCTTGAATTTCATGTCTGAAACCTCGGGGATCAGCGCTGCCATTCCTCTCTGTCTCTGTCCTCAGCAGGAGAAAGTATTAAGGAGAAAGCGATGGCCGCAGAGTTACAGAGGAGGCTGATCCGCAACCGCAGGAACATCAGCTGGTACAAACAACACTCTGATTTCTGGAACTGGTACAAGTTCTTCACCGAAAACGGCAACCAGGAGGCAGTAAGTACTCACAGTTAAGACACAGTTTGAGTTTATTATAGAATATTATTTTACCTATGAGCAAAGGAAATGCTAAAAAAAATCATAAGCACCAAGTACAATCAAAAGTAACAAAATATGTTGTAAAATCAATTAAGAGATTGACATAAAACTAATCCCAGAGTTTTTGGTCCATGTGTCATCAGGTTCAGGAGATGGATCGCATCTACCTGGCCTACCTCCAGAACAAGAACCGCGCCGAAGGTCGTCGCTCCTACAAAGCTTACCTGCGCCATCTGGGTGACATCTACAAGTCTTGTGCTGATTCCGACGACCCCAACTGTGTGGCTTCCTACACCTCCAGACCCAAACCAAAACCTGAGCCCCCCAAACCTGCACCTGTAAAAACCTGTGACCCTACCAAGGACCCCTACTGTCTGTATGCTGCCTTAGTCCAGGGCAAGAGCCCATACCTGCCCCTTGTTATCCCAGTTGCCACCCCAGCCCCAGCACCAGTGAAGGCCCCTGCCCCTCTTTTTGCTAAGGCTGCTCCTCCAGCCAAGGAACCCCAGTCCGGGTACTACTACTACGCTCCATCTGCAACGCCTTTCCTGTCAAAGGTAAGCTCTCGGACAGAGTTTGATCAGACCATAGTTTACCAAAGAGTGTAGTCTTAGTTCATGACAAACTGAATTGCAATTCGACCACAATCATATCACACGATCCTGCAGTTTGGTTTCAGTGAAGTTTCAGCAGAAACACAAATCCTCATTTTTTTCTTCACACATCAGGAGCAGAAGGCTGAGCTGCTTCGTATCTGCTCTGCTGATGATGTGGAGTGTCTGCAGTACCACCTGAGAGCCGCCCACGGTTATGCACCCTCCGCTGGACCTGTGCCTTCCTACGCTCACCTTGGCTGTGACCCAAGCAAAGACCCCAAATGCAAACCCAAAATGGTGCAGAAAGCCCCATCCGGTCTCTACCTGCAGTACCCCAAATGTGATCCACGGGATGTCTTCTGTGCCTACGCTGCCTCTCTTGTGGTATGCTTTTTCTTTCAGTATCAAAAACTACTGTATCAAAGGGATATTATAACATTAATTTAGGGTCAAACACACCATAACACCGAGTTAGACACCCCCACAGAGATGAATGTTGCTGACCGCTTGCTTCTCTAGTTATACGAACTTTAGTAACAAATGCACGATAGCAATACACAGCTTAGGTGCTGTTCTGTGGCTATAGAGTGGCGTTTTGGTTGAGGTTTGTTTATGGCTCCTCAGACCACTGTGTATCGCTTTCCTGCGGTCGTTACTAAAGTTCGTATAACTATAGAAGCAAGCTGTCGGCAACATTGATCTCTTAAGGGGGTGTCTGACTCTTTCATCCATGCCTTAGTAACAATGACTTATGATGTTTCTTTCAGGCTCCTCGTGCTCCAAATCCCCCTGCCCCCGCTGGTCCTGGATCCTGCAACCCTCTCTTTGAGGAAGGTTGTAACCCTCTTACTGCCACCAGATTTGCTTCTCCACCTGAGTCTTACAAATCCGAGCAAAAAGAAGAGGCTGCTGCCATCCGTGCTCCCCCTCCTGCTGCTGAGCAGAACTATGACCCCTATGCTATGTTTAGGGATGCTTATGCTAATGCTAACAGGGCGCGTGATCCCTATGCTATGTACCGTCAGCCTAGCGCTCCTGCTCCCGCCCCTGCAAATGACCCATATGCACTCCTGCGCCAGTTTATGGCCCAAGCTCAAGGAAGTGACCCGTACGCTCCCCGAATGGAGGCTGCTCCAGAGTCCAACCCAAATGATCCCTTCTCTGCGATCCGTGAGGCGGCAGCTGCCATGCATCGCCGTGGTCCTCCCACACCCAGGCAACAGCACCCTTATTCCAACCCCAGTTATGAGGAGCCCAAACAAGAGGAGCGCCACCCCTTGGGCCCCCCAGGTAAAACCAAGGAGGGCTACGACTGCTTCATCGGCTATGATCGGGAGTGCTTCCCCGTGAAGCCCACCAATCCTCGCTCTGGGGTTCACCGTCAAATCCCATACTCTGCTGAAGCCTATGAGCCCCACCTGAATGCTGATGGAACCAGAAATGGCGTCCTGGAGCCTGACAACCCTCACTGCGACCCTGAGCACGACCCTGACTGCCGCCTGCGCCGCGCTGACCATGAGCAGACCCAGCCTGAGCATTACCCTGAGGAGGATCATCACCAGGGGGCAGCAGAGAGCGAGCAGCATCATGAGCAGCAGGAACAGGACCCATACGAGGCCGAGCCCTTCCAGAGCGGTCAGGAGGAGCCGCCTCACATGCCCTACCAGCCACTCTCACAGGGTATGCCCAGCCTGCAGGACATACTCAGACGCTACGGAGACCAGTTCCCTGAGCAGGATGATCACAGGGCCTACGCAGATGACTATCGCAAGAAATAGACATGCTAACACACTCATGCATGCAAATGGACATGAATACACAGTCTCCTGCGTTCTTGTAGCTTAGCACGGATCGCTTCACCCAGTAAGTCCTACCTGGACCAGAAATGGGACACTAGAGAAGCTTATGGACCCAATGAGTACATGCACGTACATCCACACACAGCTTCCAGCCATACTCGAAAAAGCAGAGTGTGTTCCTGCAGTGAGTTCATCTCTTTAGCTGCTTTAGACCTGTTCCTTTCCAGCTTCCCCTTCACCTTCCTTAAACCACTCGAATGTGTTGTGACTTCTCAATGCTCAGCTTTTGCTTTTGTATCTATGCATCTCACATTTTTTTATTTGTTCGTTGCTTTTTGTCTGATGGTGTATGTAATTTTTTTTCAGTTTGAATGTTTTAATAAAAAGCTCTAGAAAGCTATGTTTCGTACTTCATTCAGATTCATCCACGAGAGTCTACTGACGGAAAACAAGACACCAGAATTTCAAACAGAAACACCTTTATATAGAGGGATACATTTTGGGGGAGTGGCTTGGTCTGTAGCTCCACCCCCTAAAAGGTGGGGCCCTCCAAACCCCATTCACAACAGTTATTTAGTGCCTAAAGTATTAATAAGAAAAATTGCCAATGGTTTATCTTTCTAAAGTTGCTACATATAAACAAATAAAGCCAATTTTAGAGCAAAAACCTAAATAAATAAACGAATAGATGTCTGATCTGAATGTCTCATTTCTCTCTCAGCACACCCTGAACAGGAGGTGATTATTTTCCATATGTGGTCATTTTGAAGGTCAGGACTTTAGCACAGCTCATCTGACTGACAGGCGGGCAGATCGTAGCTTTTAGCAGGGAGGCTAAAGGACCACGTCAGCTCAACTTGTTTGCCTCACAGTAGAGGTCGACTGAAAGTTAAGTTGAGTCAGATTTTCCTATACAGGGACTGCAGCTGATAGGCTTCAGACCTTTGCTTCAGGTCAAATGGGTGTCAATAACAACACTGGATTTCCTGGATTTCTTTTTTATTGAGATGCACAATAGAGTAGGTTTTGAATATCACTGAATGCTAATGCTAGCCCTAGCTATGAGATTGCTAACATGGAGGAAAATCTTTGCTTAAGATGGTGGATGGAAACAAGTTGTTTATGTTTATGATTAAAGCTAAAGTAAGCTACTTTTGTTGTGTACTGTGCGCTACTGGCTAATGTTAGCTACAGCTAGCGCACAGTACACAATAGAGTAGGTTTTGAATATCACTGAATGCTAATGCTAGCCCTAGCTATGAGATTGCTAACATGGAGGAAAATCTATGCATAAGATGGTGGATGGAAACAAGTTGTTTATGTTTATGATTAAAGCTAAAGTAAGCTACTTTTGTTGTGTACTGTGTGCTACTGGCTAATGTTAGCTACAGCTAGCAAACAGCTGCTATCGAGTAGATAATAGGGTAACTATACGTCTTCTTTTACCCGGACATGTCCTCTTTTTTGGAGGTTGTCCGGGTTTGTCCGGGGAAGTTTATAAAATCCTTCAAATGTCCGCGGTTTTGTACGTAAGTTTCAAGTTTGTGTCACGTGGACTTACTGAGTTAGAAGCAGGTAAAAGACACTCGATCCAACCCGAAAAACTCTCAAAATTAACTTTGTGCGGCTCCGTGACTCCGCCCCTGCGTAGTCATGTCCTCTTATTGGGAAGTCAGAATATGGTCACCCTAGAGTAGCTGTGCTTTGAGCTTTAGTTTATCACGGCGTACTGTGGGCTGTGGTCTTTTCCTCCACTCTCTAGACGTAAATTTAATCCTGTGATGAATATGATATAGATGGTGAGTGTGGTTGTTTGCCTTTTGAATGACTCAGCTTTGCTTTCACATTTATTAAAGTACATCCCGGATTATTGAATCAATTTTTTTTCTTGAAGAAATATTATTCTTTGTCCTGTCCAGAGTTGTTTTTCCTCGATATTAACAGTCCAGCCCTCCCCACAGCTCCCTGTGGTGCCCACTGAATTGTAATGTCATAAACATTTTTTTTTTCTTCATATGAGTCTGTCAGAAAACTCAAACAACTCTTGAACTCTCTCAGATGAGCAGTAAATCCTGTTTTTAAAAGAGGGATTTCTTTTGCTTTGCTGCCTCGCCCTGTGTCTCCAAACACACACAGCATGAGGTGTTGGCCCACAGAGAGCACAGGCCTGACTTCATCGATCCAGGAGCTCTCAGACACTTTAACAGCTGCAGCCATTCGAGGCCCGGTCTGTCTGAGGGGAATCTCATGTAGAGCTGAGACGGTGTAAGAAAAAGTGGGTTTTTACCACAGTTACTATTGTGACAGGTGTTAAAAAGAGAGATGTAACTGGGAAACAAAAATATAACACATGACGGGTGATGTGACTCTGGGTTAGTAGAGATTAGGCACCTGTTGTTCTGCTTTAGCACCAATCAAGTTATTACAAATAAGGACGTGATTGGAGTTTGATTGATTAAGTGCATCAGTCTAAATCAAATAATCGCCGGCTACTGAAGCTGAAGGATTGTGGGTCTCACTGCAAATGGATTTTGTTGTTGTAAATTAATTATTTGAGTCTAGACAGGAAAACAATAAAAAAAAACATGATGAGAAGAGATAGAAGAATAGAAAGTTATTGTAGGTTCATTCCTCTGCTTTATTATCTGAAACAGACGCTGTGAAGTCCCAGAAATGCCAACTCGGTCTTTGAAAGACGGTGGAGATACTCCGATTCAAAAATGTCAGAACTGACAGAAAACGACCTTCTTAACAAGATTAAAAGTCTGAAAATTTTAGATTTGAAGTCTGGTTGTTTCTCTGTTTGACAGGAATCTTTATGTCCCCCACAGTAAAACTTTAAAAAGTAAAGTTTCCAACATTCAACCTCATACTGATCTAAAGCTGCTGTGAGGAACTTTTTATTTGTGTCAATTCTGGCGCCCTCTGCTGGTCACTCTCCAGGCAAATCTCTTAAATTTGTATAACCTATTTGATTTAAAGACACAAAGGTTTTCCAACACGTCAAATATAAACGTCATGATCTTTTTAGTCTGTGAAATGTTGAGTCACAGTCGGTATCTGTGTGATTTAGCTCTTTACCTGCAGGGTCAGCAACACAGATGTTCCTGCAGACTAACCCCAGCCTTGTAATTACATCCTCTGACAAATTTCATCCTGAATTTCTCAGTTTCTTTGTTTGACTTGTCTTTTTTCTCACTGCAGGAAAATCCCTGAACTACCGATAAATCTTTCCAGACTTGAATCACAGCTGGTGAAGTCATGACTGCACAGTGTCGGTGCGTCTACTGATGTCTATGCTCTTCCCTCTGAATCATTGTATTGTATGAGATTAACGTGATTGTCTTTAAAACAAACAAATGACAACAAATTTTCTGGTCCATTTTAACAACTTCACCACATGTGTTATCAGCTCTAGATGTTAATAAAAGACTGTTGATGGATGATGGTCCAAGTCCAAAAGTTAAAATAAAGCCTTCCACTTCGACAAACACGTACAGCCCATTGATTAAAGCTCCTGTAAAGAACTTTTGGTTTGTGCTGATTTTGGCGCCCCAGGTGGACAAAACAGGCTTTGCTTCAACCGTCCAGTATCAGGGGGCAGCATGGAGCCTCCTTTTAGAATCATTAACTCTGACTAAAACCTAAAACTAAAACTAAAATCTGTGATATTAACGGCTGGACTACATTAAACAGAGGTCAATGACAGGTTAGTGGATCATGTGTTCCCTTTATTCTAAAAAGTAAATTGATAAAACAAAGAGCGTTAAAGAAAGGGAATACAAGATTGATGCCGACAGGCTGTAAAAACTACAGAAAGGCGGCCTCCATCTTTACTCCTGTGTTTGTGGAGTCCTGCAGGGCAAATAGACGATGAAAAGACACGTATCAAAGAGAAGACAGCAGGAGACAAACTCAAACCGAGTGTATGAAGTGAACGACACTCCTAAATATATCTGTCAGCAGCTGGAGGCAGGCTGACTCAAAGTCAAGCCCCCTGCAAGGATACCAACGCACTCATGCACACACAAGCGCACACACACACACACACACTGTAAGTCAGGGCTCCCCCTTGTGGCTTCTGATGTAAGGATGAGGTGCGTGTACGTCAGTGCTGTCAACAACAGTCAAGCCTGGTTATTTATCAAAGACTAACAATAGATCAGGCTGTCAAACTAATTACTGAGCTTTTCTCCCATCCTCAACACCTCTGTCCTGTCATCAGCTGCTAACTTGATCCTTTCTTCACACAAACAGAGGTTAAATACCACCTTAAATTTAAAAAGAGGGGTACTCATTTTTAGAAAATCAGGATAAACTGTGGCTGATTACATTCAAAGGATTGGATTCTGTGAGCGTCATTGTCTGCGGTTCAGGACAAACATCAACCTTCAAACCTTCAAACCTCCGAGTCTCGTAGGACACTCGGTGCAAAGTGTCCTGACTTGCAGCTTAAGTGACACAGTGTTCAGTTTTACGCCCCAGTTGTGACTGTAAATGAACTTGCACCCATGCGCTAGCTCATGGGTGTGTTGATCTTTCAGTGAGGTGTGATCAGGCCCAGAGGAAGAAAGCCCCTGTAGTTTAGACCGACACGGAACCAGCCAACAAGTTTATGCCTATAGCGCAGGACTTTCTTGATATTAAACTGAGATAACAGGGTAGAAGAGTTCAACATAAAGATGCAGCAGTGCTACCTCTCAGAATACCCATGAATGTTAGTATATTTACTGATACATAAAATTATGTTTCTTTCATTGGGATGGATGTATTATTGCGTCATTATTCTGCTCTTAATATAGGGGCAATCCAGGGATGCCAAAAAAAAGGACACCCAGCACTGCATGTGCCCAACATATTTTTTAAATCATCTCACTATACATACCACAAACCATCATGCACATAGATATTAATAATGACTGAACAATATCTGTTATGCAAGCAGTACAGACGACAGCTATGTGAGCCAAAACATGTTA